ACCTCCAAGTTGTTTGTTTACATGAATGATAAATTGCTTATATAGAAAGGAATCACACTCATAGCTAACTACCTTATAACTAACTACTACTTAGTTATTCTATTAGCTAATTATATTCTAACATTTACATGTTGAACACAATGCTGCAACATTTTGTTTAACATTCCAACATACAATCCCCTAATCTGAAACTAGCAAAAGAGACAGATTATAACATGATACAGACACTAGATTCATGCACATTATTGAGCAAGACTTAAATGGCACAGACTTCAATTCTTGTTTTGATGTAGTTGAAAGACTCAAGCTTTACTGGTTTAGTTAGCACGTCTGCAAGTTGCTCTACTGTGCTACAATGTTTCATCTCAATTGTACCATCTTTGCAAGACCATCTCATCATTCATCTTGTACAAAACTCCTAGGTTCATAGTTCCCTTTAGCTGCCTTAAGATTTTCTTATTGTAACTGCCTGGTGAGTCTCAGTTGGTCTCTCCGTGTATCTAGCTACCAAGCATACTGAATAGGCAAGGTCAGGCCTGGTAGCATGCAAATACATTAAGCTTCCCACCATATCCTTGTAGCTTGTGGCATCAACTGGATTACCATTTTCATCCTTGTTCAACCTGTAATCTGGCATAAGAGGATTACAAACCTTATTGCATTGATCCATGCCAAATCTTATGAGTATTTCATTGGCATATTTTTGTTGGTAGATGAAGATTTATGCACTTTCTTGCTTTACTTCCACCCCAATAAAGTATCTCATCTTCCTCATATATATATGTCATGGAAAACATCTTCCTTATTGATTCCTTGAATCCTTCAAACATTTTTTTGATTATTTCCTGTATATATTAGGTCATCTACATACAAGCTGACAATTAATATCTTACCCTCAATATGCTTCACAAACAATGTATAATCACGAGGGCATTTTTCAAAATTCCCTTGATTGAAATATGCTTTAATCTTGTTATACAAGGCCTTTGGAGCTAAGGCCATAGAGTGAATTTCTCATCTTATAGACCTTGTATCTTCCTTCTTTCTCATAGCCAAGTGGTTGATCTACATAAACATCTTCCATCAACTCACCATGCAGGAATGCACTTCTTGCATGATACAAGTGCTAAGAAAGTCATGATAATATCCCATCTTACCATAGAAGCAAACACTTCATTGTAATCTATGCCATGTTCTTGTGAGTATCCTTTAGCCATAAGCCTTACTTTGTATTTCTCCACTTCCACTTTTTCATTGCATTTTGTTTTGTATATCCATTTGATACTAACTTTCTTGGCTCTTGGTGGTAGATTGACTAGAGTCCAAGTATAATTTTTCTCAATACTTTTAATTTACAAGTCCATAGCTTTCCTCCATTTCTCATGCTTGACTTCTTCATCATAATTGAGAGGATCATTGCTGCTACAAAACACTGCTAAGCTGTGTAGCTTCTCTTCTTCCTCCCTTTCCGAGGTTGTAACATAGTCATTCAAGTACCCTAGCCTTCTTCTTTGTCTCACTTCTGGCTTTATAAGCTCTTTCTTTTGATCATTGTTTTCTTCTTCAATAGCACTATCATCGCTAGCACTTTCTACATTGCTTCTCTCATGTTGAGAGCTATCATTTTCAACATGCACATCATCATCAATAACTTCAACTTCATCACTCTCCATGTCTACTTCTTCTCTATCAACATCGCTAGTTGATTGAGACTTATCTTCTTTGTCATTCACAATATCACATCCTTGCTAATTGGGATCTTGTTATTCACAAGATTATAGAGCTTGTAAGCCTTTGATTCTTCACTAACTCCCAGAAGAACACAATTTGTATCTTTAACATTAAGTTTTTTTCTGTGCACATCAGGAATGTGTACAAAAGCTATGCACCCAAACACTTTTAAGTGATGCATTAAGGGATTTACACCACTTCATGCCTCTTCTGGAGTCATGTTCTTCACAAATAATGTTGGACTTTTATTGATTACACACGCTTCCCATTTAGCCGCTTCAGGCTAAAAGCTCTTAGAAACATTTCTACTTGTCATCATGCTTCTAATCACATTCATCAGAGTCCTATTCTTTCTCTCTGATACTCCATTTTGTTGTGGAATATAGGCAGTTGTCAATTGCCTCTTTATGCCATGAAGACTGTAGAAGTCACAAAAGGAATTTGATGTAAACTCTCATCATCTATCCGTCCTAAGACATTTGATGTAGAGTACTTAATCTTTTCCTACCAAGGCTTTGAATTGTTTAAAAACATCAAAAGCACCAGCTTTTTCATGCAAAAAGTAAATCTATGTCTTTCTACTAAAGTCATATGTGAATGTAATGAAATTCCTACTTGCACCATTTTATACAGGCTTGATACGTCCACACACATCTGAGTGGATTAAATCAAGCTTTTCCTTGGCTCTCTATGTGGCTTGCTTTGGTATGGCTTCTCTATGTTGCTTTCCTATCAAGCAATCTGAACAAGTCTCCTCCAGGTCCTTAAAACTAGGCATTCCCTTCATCATCTCCTTCTTGAAGAGTACGTCAAGGCCTTTAAAGCTCAAATGGCCATATTTGCAATGCCACAGGTGTGTGATATTATCTGAAGAAATCTTCTTGCACACGGGAAGAACAACAGGTGCCTACACAACAAACATTTTGTTGGATCAAATCTTTTTGTTCATGATCAATCCTCTATTAGCATGATGTACTTTGCAACCTCCATCTTTGAACGTTATTGTTAGTTCCTTTACCATTAGTTGACCAACACTTAGAAGATTATTCTTCAATCCTGGAAAGTAATACTCACTAGTGATTACTTGAGTGATTCCATTCATGTGAAACTTCAAGTTTCCCTTTCCCATTACTTGCATCTTGGAATCATCCCCTAAATTGACAGATTCGCAAAATCTTTAATCAAAATTGAACAACCATTCTTTTGTTCCAACCATATGATTATTACATCCTGAGACAAGAAACCATACTTGATTGTTGGTTTTTGTGTCTTCCTTTTGAGCCACAAGTAACAACTCTTCACTTTCTTCGAATTCAACAAAGTTGGCATCGCTCTCTTCCAACTTGGACATTCACTTTGATAATGCCCTATCTTGTGGGACTTATAACAATGGATTTGATATCTACTCAATCTTTCTTTTCCACAACCACAAAAGCCACCACGTCTCCTACCTCGATTGTTGATACCACCACATCCATAACTTGCAATCTTTAACACATGTCATCCTCCTTCTCTTGAGTGATCTTCATCTTTTGCTCATGCACCAAGAGACTACTTTGTAGCTCATCAATGGACAAGGTTGTGACATCATTTGATTCTTCTATAGAGCACACCACATAATTAAATTTTGTGGCCATAGAGCTCAACACCTTCTCAACAATGGTGGTTTGCTTCATCTTCTCACCTTGAACATTTATCTAGTTTGCAATAGCTAAAGTTCTTGTAAAATATTCATCAACTGTTTCTTTATTCTTCATGCAAATAACTTCAAACTCTCGATGCAAACCCTGCAATTGGCCCCTCTTCACTTTCGTGGACCATTGATACTTCCTGTGCATGGAATCTCATATATCTTTGGATGTCTCGTGATTCAAAATTGTTTTAATAATTCTTTGATAAATTGCTTGAAACAAATCGTTCTTGCCCTTGAGGTTTTTGAGCTTGCTTTCTTCTGCAAGTTTTCTTTGTTCCAACATTGCATCTAGTATTGTAACCGTAACACCCTTCTCTACCAATTCCTAATACTCCTTGGATTTAAGAAGATTCTCCATAAGCATGACCCAATGATCGTAGAATCTATTGAATTTGAGAATTGCTGGTGTCAAGAATTTTGATGAATCAGCCATGGAGATGAGGGACTAATGATCGTAGATTCTATGAAAAACCTAATTCTCACCACGATATCCAAATTGCGTTTCTTGAATGAAAGAGGCACACATGAATCATCAACCAGTGCTCTAGATACCATTTGTTAGAATGTGAGAGAAAGTTGTTATTGAAAAATGCATCTTCAAACTATTTATTTACATGAATGATCAATTGCTTATATAACAATGAATTACATTCATAGATAACTACCTTGTAACTAACTTCTAGTTAGTTATTCTATTAGCCAATTACATTCTAACATATACACATTAAACACTATTGAACATTATGCTGCAACATTTTGTTTGACATTCCAACAAATTTCATATAAATTCGAGAAACATTAAGAGAATTTTTTCAACCGATAAATGTCCGGGACATTCCCAAGTTTTCCTGCCAGTAAATGCTATGATGGCTACTTGATTTTGTCATAACTATTAGATTTTATAGAAGTTTTGAGTAATTTTTTAATGTAAAATTTTAAGAAGGTAAATTATAATAGAGTTTAAATTGGAATTTAAAAACATTGTCAAGTGTCAATTAGAGGTACGAGGTTCCAGGTCTCACCCTACATCTAGGTTCCAGGTCTCACCCAAACCAGTTCTCATGCATCAACCTTTCACCCTACATCTAGGTCTCACCATTGAACTAAATAAGAGAAAAGATAAGTTGAACATGAAATTGAAATACTCATTACAATCTTCATCACATATCATACAACTCGTGATGGCGTATCTACAGGCACTCCAACACTAAAATTAATCGGATATTAATGCTTGATAATCCCTCTGTTCACTATTATAAGCAAAGATTCTCTTTTTAGATTCGTTGAATAACTGTTGTATTTAATCTCTATATATAGACCATATACATCTATTATTGAATAAATTTAAAAAGAAAATATTTGCTTATAACAGTGATCAGAGTGTATCACAGAAAGATTATCCTTAAATTTCCATTTCTTTTCCATTTTTGGAAAGAGTTCTTATGTACCTTGGAAAGAAAGGTATGCCATTGATGAATATCGCTATTAACAAATTACAAACAGATAAAATCTCAAAAATGAACATTCTTGCCGACGAAGAGTTTATCATCTCTATGTAAACAACCATTGATTTTCATCAAACATTGAAAAGTTTGAAGGAATCTACTATGGTCTGCAATCTGTCTTTCATCTTCCCCCACCTTCTCTCGTTTGCTCCTGTCGTCAACGTGTAAAACTTACCTGCGATCAATGGTTAATTTTTCGTTTAATGACTTCAACATTTCAAAAATTCAGAATGAGAATCTAAAAAAACCGTACCATTGCCGATAGAGACTGCGCTGAGGGCGTGGCGAGTGAAGTTTGGAGCCTGAGCAGTGAACTCGAATTGATAATATACTTTTCCGTCAATATCACGCTGGAGGGTTACACAGATGGAACAAGCTAGGATAAGTGCTTATTATATAAGTGCTTATGTATAAGTTGTTTCTATAAAAAGATAGATATAAGACATTGAGCAACAAGAGCAACGAGTACAAAAACAAGGAGAATCGATTTAAGACATCAAACCTCGGTTGCTTTGATTATCTTTGTTTTCTGGTTTGGAGGAGCCAAAACCTTTTTAATTAGAGTTGCAGCAACCTGAAAACAAATTAAGAACACGATGGAATGCGATGTTTCTTCGCTATCTAGAATCAAGGATACTCACATTGATATAAGCCTAACCTCTTCTGGGGATCCGAACTCTTTAATATCTTGTTTTCCAGTTGGGATCATCGTTACGCTGACGTTTTCCAACGGTTCGATAACATCTTTGAACACCTTATCTTGACCTTGAATCACTACTTCCTGACCACTCCCCATGATAAAAGAAAAAAAGGAGCTAAAATCAAAGTTCGCTATATTTGCAGGAGAAACTCTTCAACAAGACGCGGACAGTTTATAACAACAATGCTCACCTGCCACCCGAAAGGGTAGACAAACGAATATCCGTCTTTTCTATCGACAACCGGTTGAAATCCTGATTCTGCGGCAACTGAGCCATATCAAGAGTATATATATATCCTCACGATGTCAGGAACCGGTATTTATGAAAGTTAGCGATGGTAAATAACTGCTTAAAATGAAATCTTACAAGAAATCGATTGTTGGTCGAACAAAAAGACTAACGGGGCAGTAGCTCCAATGGCGATCATTTGGCGCCTACTTGGTTCATCTGTCAATGCATCACAATGGATCAAAAACCAAATAGATATACTTCTTTAATTAAGTTGTTTAAAACAGAAAGACTAATGACCATGGATGCAAGTTCGTCCACTAAGCTCGGGTGAAATACTCGGTCCTTTGAAAACCGAAAGAGTCAAAGAGCAACAAGGTAGTATAGTCCTACTCTATGAAGCACAGACACACAGGCACTCTACAAAACATTGACATAGACATAGACACTGACATTGACACCGACGGTGTATAAAACATTGACATAGACACTGACATTGAAACCTCAACACCGGTTATAATTTGAGAAAATAACATAATTGAAAATAATCATAATTGTATGTCTGCAACATGTCGCATACATTGACATCTATCAGACATCAAACACATATTCAATCTTAAGTATTTGCGGCGGAAAACGGATAACGTAGCATCGACACTTCTGGAAAAAGGTGTCACCCACATCTCTGAAAAAGTGTGTCAATAATTTATTTATCTTTTCAAATTATTACCAGTATCAGTGTCGTATTTCTGGCGTCCGTGTATCATAGATAAATACAATATAACAATAACCGTCAATTCAAGGTCAATAGACAAAAGCACAAACCTTGAGAAATCAACCCGGTTGAAGAATGTGAAGCTTCATGAGAACCTTTAACAATGAAGGAAATGCCATCTCTTCTAGACGAACGAAAACCACTACCATGTTTCTGCAACACACCCTTTTCAGATAAGAATGAACATAACTACACTACACCAAGTTAGAGAGGAAAAGAAAGTACCTGAGGGAAAGAGTTCTGAAAGAGAGTTCGGTGAAGTGTAGGTGAATTCTGCAGGGACACCATTGTTGGCTTGGATTTTGCAAAGAAAATGAAACTTTTTTTCTTATTGCCTTGTTTTGTTGTATCTATGTGGTGGAGAAGACTCTTGTGAAATTGACTTATCCATTATCCTAAAAGTGTAACCACAATCTTTCCTCTCCTTATTGTTTGTTCCAATAATATATACCTTAAACTAAGTAGCTAATTGTTGTTAATGTAACATCTTCAAATTGATACATAAAATTATGAATAATTTAAAAAGGTTTTTGATGATATTAAGGTGGCAAATTAATCTGTATATTTAATTATTTACTATCAATTAATTTTTTTACATATAGTTACTTATTAATAATTTAGTTAATGTCTTCTTAAGGTTATGTATATGCTAGTTCGAACGTGGCATAACAATTAAAAGTTATATTTAGTATTAGTTTAACTATGGTTAATTTATTATGATGCTCTAATTAACATTAATTTAACATTGGAAAATTTGAGATTTACTAATTTATTTTTTTTGTTCTTAATCAGGATTATAATTTATAGGCATAATTAGTTTCTAGATCTCTTAATTATGAGCGAAATTTGGTTTTGCTCTTCGAACTAAAAAAACATTACATAATGATCCCTTAACTTTTGGTCTCTACCGTTAGTTTATGTGAAAAATGTTAATTATGGCTGAGATGACATGTCAGATAAGCAAATGGTATGTTCAACATTCAATTTCTGTGTTAAAAATACTCTGGGGTTCATGGGTTCCATCTTCCATTTAGTTCATCCATATTTTCTTCTCCAAAATACTAAAAGAAAATTGAAGACTGGAACTTACAACAACACCATTTCCTTGCTAATTTATCTTCTATTTTCTGTGACACAACTAAAATAGGTGGTTGTTTTTCTTTTTCAATTTTTGAAATTTTGGGTTTGTTCTACATCTTAGAGGGGAAAAGGTTGAAAAATTGATGAAGGTTTAGAGATTGAGGTGAAAATTGAGAAGAAGAAGAAATGGAAGAAAGAGTTTCTTTCATGAGAGAGTGTTGAATTTCTGCACATAGGAATAATTTTTGTGCCACTAGCTTGATCAAATGTATAATATTTTAATTAATATAAAATAAATAAATATTCCAATTCAACAACTAAATGTTCAACTAATCAAAATTTAACGTTTTTCACCAAAACTAACGGAAATGACTAAAATATGTAATGAAGTATAAGTTAATGGACCACTATCTAACGTTTTTTTTAAGAACCAAATAGAAACATTGACTAAAGTTAAAGGATCAAAAATAGGTATTAAGCCTAATTTATATGAGAATATTTTATGAGGGTCGACCCAAGCCCATGGTTATTGAGGCAATGGCTTTAGGCCTCATTTTTTTAAACCTTAAAATAGGTCTCAAATGTTAAAAAAATAAGTCTTAAATTACATATAATTAATATATTTTTTAAAACAAATAACACAAATGAAATACATCAAATGGCAAAGATTTGTTCCTCTATTGTATAGTATTTGTGTTCAATTCTTATTATCTTAGTTTTATAATTTTAAAGCTAAAAATATTTGCAGTTCAATAATCAATGACACTGGTTTTAAATTCTTTAGTTGTCTATTGTGTAAAAAGTTATAAAAATTATTAATTTAAAAATTTTATTTAATTTTTAATTAAATACTAATTTTTAAAATATCTTAATTTTACCATTTTAAAAATATTTTTCAATTCAATAACCAATAGCATTGGTTTTAAATTCTCTACACACATCAAAATTAACATTAATTATAAAAATATTTTAAAAATTATCTATTTAAAAAATTTATTTTTAATTAAATATTATTTGTAAAAGTATTTTAAATCAAATTCTATCTTAGGCCTCATAACACGTTGGGTCGACCCTGTATTTTATGAAGAGAATAATTTCACAATTTACTTTAATTTAAAAAAATTATATTCATGCAAATAATTATATTTAAATTTAACTAAAATTTTGATTCTCATGTTTAATTTTTTTCTAAATAGCCATGATTTCTAACTAATTACCAAACTAATCATATTTTGCTTGGAGAAGAAGAGAAGGTGTCATTCAAAATGGCGCATGCATTATTCAAGGATAAGGAGGCATCATTCACAATGGCTCATGCACATACATGGCGTCAATGCATGTGGTGTATGTTTTCATCCCCCAAGAGCATGTGTCACTACATGGGGTTACTCCTTTATTTCCATCTTCTATAAATACAGCATTCATTCCCCCTTCACTTTTCACACATCTTCTTACCATTTCCTTCCATTTTTCTTCAATCTCCATCTATTTTTCTTCAAAATATCTTCATATATGTGTCCTTATATCCAAAAGAGAAATGTTGATTTAATTTATTCGGCAGTAATGCCTCCGATGAAGATCCAACTCTGGAATATATAGACGTTCGAACATCTTAACAAGAGATTGATTTGTTGGTTAAATGGAGACATTGTAGAGGGTGAAAAGATCAGAAGAATTCAAAGGCTTGTGACCACATTCAACCAAAATGGAGAAATTTGTTTCTAGGAGAATGCTAAAACTGACAGAGAGGCTCACATGATGATGTATAGTTCTCAGAAAATTGTCTAGATGGTTGTAATCACATAGTAAAGTTTTTTAGTCGTTGTATTTATTTGTTTTGCTGTTTAATTGTTTAAATTATTATTTAGTTGTTGTTTTTAAATTAATGTAACCAAATGTTATGATATTTATGAAATGAAAGTTGTTTTTGATATAAAGCAAAACGGTTACATTTAAAATTATGTTGTTATGCTTGGTCCAACATTGAAATAGTTTGTACGATTGTGTTTGAGCTGACGACATGAACTACATGATTTCACCATTTTGTCCGTCGTATCCATTTCAGTTTGAATATGTGTGTTGTTAGGGCGACCCTTTTTCTTTCTTCGCATTATTTCATTGTGCCAGAATATATCCCTTTGATATGCAGATGCCAGAATATTTCACCGAAAAGCTAGTGTTGTAGACATTGCATAGGTTTATGATTTTGTAAACGGGAAATAGTAAGTTGGAGGGGTCTTGCCGAGCCTTTGAACATGTCACTATGACATGGGAGCATGGCATACGAAAGGCTTGGAACTTTCCACATTTGCACCAACCTCTATCTAATTCCACTCAATAGTATCTCCACGACCTCCCTTCATTGTGATCCATTGATTCAGTAACACTTAGCCAACCTTTATTATGGTTAAACACTGTAATCACATGTATGTTAGCTTTGCCAGCTTCCTCCTTAATGAATTTCACTGAACTATCACTGAACAACTGCCCAGATGGTAACACCGGACTCCATTTTGAACTTGATCTCAAAAAGTGACCCGAGTCTAAAATAGGTTGCTCTCACCAAAGCGGTTATTAGAAGGTTTCATATGCCTTTGAAGACAAAGTTCATTGATTCCACGAGATTTGTTGTCATGTGGTCCCCTCGTTGTCCATTATCGTATCCCCTGGTACACTTGTCCAATAAAATATTGTCGATCCACCTTACTGCATCTGCATTTGTTAATATGATGTCATCGTGGTAGTGTTTAAAGGAAGGTTTTGTTAATGAATACCCTGCATTCACAACCTTCTTCCACAACGTCTTTTTTTATCTCCCGCATGAAATTTTGAGCAATGTGTTTAATGCATTAGACATGCATTGAAAGAGGATCCTGTCATCCGTTATCTAGGTTTTTATATGCACTCTCAATGGGTGCATGTCTATCCGAAATCAAACATAAGTTAGGTTGAGGAGCAAAGTATAATCAAATATTTTTTAGGAAAAAACTCTACCCACCAGCAATCTCCCCTTCAACTAGAGCGAAGGCGATTGGAAAAATGTTGATGTTGTCATCTTAGGCCACTTCCATGAGTAGTGTTCATTTACATTTCCCGTATAACCATGTTCCATTAATTTGTATAATAGGTTTACAAAAATAAAAACCTTTGATGCATGATTATACACTCAGAAGATTCAATGGAATATGTCATTTCCACTAACGCAAGTCCTGTATGGGGTGTATGTCGACAAGGTCTCCAAAATGACAACAGTCCCTGAAGCATAATGCTTAAGTGCCACAAAGTATTTTGGAAGTTCTTTGTACGACTCCTCCCAACTTTTAAACAATGTTTCAACTGCCTTAGTTCTAGCTATCAGTGCCTTCTTGTACGAGGGAGCATAATTGTATTGTATAATGATATGCGATATTATTGTAGTCACCTTCAACGACGGGTTGTCGCTAATGACAAAAAAATTCATCATATATTAACTAAGAGTTGAGTTTCGATGATCTTGCATCAGATTAATGATAATATAAGTGTGATCTGGAACCATAGACCCTATCTTCCAAGATTCACTCCTCTTCCAGTAAGATGTTGTCAATCGGAATGGGAGAACCTCATTACGACAAAATATCTTGTACCTCATCACATTAGTTCGATCGACCCTATAATCAGTTGATAATTCCATATGATATTTTTAATAGCTCTGACACAATCTTCTTTTCTGCGAAATTCGTCTCCCTCTTTTAATGATCCTTATGTTTGCATATACGGATTGTAAAATATATCTGGCGATGGTTCATCTGTACCCAAGTTCAAGGTTGTCATGTGTTGAGATGGATAATAAACATGACTAGCAGGCAATGGATCTTGCTCATGGTCGTCAGTGGCATGGTTCACCATTTGATCAACTAACATCGCATATTATTCGTTTTCCTCATTAACAACATCGACTTCAACTTGTTCATTGTCAACTTCAGCTTGTTCATCGTCGTCCGTTTCACAAAAAAATTATGAAGGATCAACGAGCTGAGACAATGGGTTTTGTTGTTATATAATATAGAGCTCAATATCGTTGAAACAAGAATGTTCATGAATGAGAAACATATTATGAACATATCCAGCATCCCGGATCTTTAGCTGATAAAACATAACTTGGTTGTCTGGAAAAAAAAGACTGGATTTTTGTAGATGAGTTGTGCCACTGGACTACACAATTTATTTTC